CTATTATTATTTCTAATGATTTCTCCATCGTCAGTCCTTTTTTCTGTTCTGTCAACATGTACAGTAATGGGAAATCCAGACTCTTGACCATTTTGCGTTAGCCGTTAGCTTCTCCAGCAGATCACATGGTCACGTGGTTTCTGAGCTGCAGCTGTTATATATATCTCCTTGAGTTAACAAGTGTGGTTTAGACATTTTCTCATTTTCTGAGTCATGCTTGGCTGTGCTCTGACCGCAGCAAACTGTRGACTTCAAGGATTGTCTGGTAGCAACAGAGGTGACCCTCTTGTTGAGAAATACAGTAACTTGTGGAACTCCCGATGAGTGAAGTCAGCTGAACCCACTTAGCTTACAGCTAATGTGTAAAGAAGTTACACATGAAACTACAGGATACTGAGATACATCTATAAATAAACCAGTCAGGAGGCTTTCTGAAGCTGTTAAAAGAGCTGAAAGTAGCTGAACAGTAGCTAAAAGCAACACAAGACAAAACAAAACAARTATACTAAAGCAGACTTCAAAAAGAATGTTTTTAAAGGATTTGAGGAGAAAACGTTTTAGTTTTAATAAATTATAATAATAACAACAACAACAACAACAACAACAACAACAACAACAACAACAACAACAACAACAACAAGTTCAAGTGTTTCTGACAAAGGAAAACGAGTGGCAGAACCCAGCCGACCCATGAAAGGTTCTGCAGGGACCTGTACCTGGAAGGCGTTACTGGCGAAGCCCAGGCCCAGTTGTCTGCAGACCACCATGGCCTCCATGGTCCCCCAGCCCTCACTGCACACCGTCCCCCACACCAAAGACCCATTGCGCTCCACCAGAACCTCCACTCGGCCTTCGTACGGACTGCGACCTCCGCTCAGACGCAGCTGTGGGAAACACAAACATCCCTTTATTTTTACTTCCTGGATGAACAGATGTGAGACACCAGGTGCTGCTCAGCACTTTCTGAAAGTTTCAGTAACATCTGGGTCATAAAATATTTAGCTATTTTAGTGTTTGTCAGCTCAGGTTGCTGCAGCCATCTTGAAATAGGCTGATTTGGTCAAATTGTTCACTTTTACACAGAAACATAAAAACTCAGTTTGTTTCTCTGACAGGAGGAACGCTGCAGTTATTGGACATGGACACTCCTAACTGTGATCTAATCTTCTGCTCCTGTTCCACACCATACAGTGTTTCTGAGCGAGGAGCCATTCATCTGCATCTGCACAGCTGGGTTTTTTTTAATCATAGCCATCTTTTGTTTTACAGCTTGTGAATAATTTTACAACAAGCTAGTTTATTAGCGTGCCAGCTTAAAACTTGTTTTAATTTTCAGTCTGGAGTGACGTCGCCAAGAATTCCAGCCTCATATTAAGCTTTAAAATAAAACTGAACATTATATAAAGGGGTTCCCTGTGACTGCAGCAGCCTGCAGAGGAAACAGGTCAATAAAAATAAATTAATTAAAAAGATTGTTTTGAGAGGAGCCTGTTGAGATGCCTCCTGGACGCCTCCCTGGTGACGTGTTCTGGGCACGTCCCACTGGGAGGAGACCCAGAGGAAGACCCAGGACACGCTGGAGGGACTATATTTCTCAGCTGGCCTGGGAACACCTTGGGATTCTCCCAGAGGAGTTGGTCCAAGTGGCTGGAGAGAGGGAAGTCTGGGTTTTTCTGCTTAGACTGCTGCCCCYGAGACCCGACCCCAGATAAAAGAAAGAAAACAGATGAACAGATTGTTTCTAGAAACAAACCTGTTGGAAAGCTTTGATTTACAGGTAAACTGTTTTTTCATGTACATGGCTCAGTGGAAGTATTTTTATATAAATCTCACTGTATTTTCATGTTTGTAACGCAGCCTGTGAGCAGGACTCATGTTGGCACACAGGATGTTTTATATGAAGCTGTGCAAGAGGTGAGGTAGTCCTGAATCACACAGAGCTTTGGCCTCTGTAAGACAATGAGACACCAGATCAGCACATTTCCACAGAGGTTCCTAAACTGTTCTTCACCGCAGTTTTACTGTCAGCTGCTACCAGAAGCAGAGCAGTCATTGATCTGCTCATATCTGGGTGTTTTTCTCTTTATCATTAAAACACAAGAAGCATCAGACAGAAACCTTCAGCTAATCGAGCTCTGCTCATCCCTCCTCTGAACTTTCACGTCTCTCACTGTGGCTGCGGCGGCCATGTTGGATTAAAACTCAGGTTCAATTCTAGAGGTCTATGGCTGTGTCCAAAACAACAGGCTGGGTCCTCCGGAGGACCCAGACTACCCTGTCAAGGCGGGCCGGGTCCTTGGTAGACCAGGAAGACCGGAAATAAAAGAGGCTGTGAATTTGGACGGTCTAGCCTCCCCTCCTTACCCCGGTGTACGTCGTGTCACCTAACAACCAAGACAACGCTAAACAGAAACAAAAATAGATCAACATTAGAAAAATATCAAAATATTAGCATTATTAATATCACAAAACAATAAAATTAACTTAAAGGTAACATTTGAAGAACTAATTGACCTGCTGTAGGTTCATGTTTATTTCACATTTTTTAAGACAAAAATAATATTTAAAAAAAACGTTTATACAAATGATAAAAGTATTAAAATTACAACCACTAAATTTTTTTAATTTTTATATCGCCATATTTTTATTTAAAACGTATTCTTTTGTCTCGCTTCGTCCGCCATTACTAGCATAAAAAAATCTTCGGTCGGGCCGCAATGCATTATGGGATATGCTGGGCCGGGAAGGATCCATCAGACCTGTCCTTCAAATGGAGGCAAAGGAAGGACGCATTTGTCGGCCGCATCGGAGGAGTCCTCGGTTTTAGACGGCCTTCGTCGCGGCGCTGTGACGTATGCGGCCGACGAATTCGACCTTCGGAGGACCCGGCCTGCCGTTTTGGACACAGCCTATAAAGTACTTGAAAAGTATAAGTAAAAGTAAAAAGCATTAATAATTTGGCACTTGTAACTGCATTTTAACATTTCACTGCAACAAAAGTTTCTTCAGCTAAGTTGCTAAACTTTCAACATTTTCTGGGGTTTTGTCGGCCGGGTGTGTAGGCCGGCAGCTAACTGGGACAGCCTACGGCGCGGGGCAGTGACGTAAGCAGCAGATAACTGCGGCCGACGACAGCTGCAACCCATGAATTCAGACACAGCTTCAGTTATGAAATATGGCGGGCGACTTCAAGGATTGTTTTGTTTTTATTTGAAGTAGTTTGTCTGTTTCTTGCTGTTTTACTATGTTTTGCTATGATTGTTTATTAGTTTGGTATTGAACATGTAAATGTTGAAGTTTCTCCTGAACACCACCAGCAGTACTGAGCAGTACTGAGCAGTACGAGCAGTACTTGTACCACACTTGGAGAACCCTGACAGCAGAGACTGACCCGGTCCTTGAAGCCCATGGCGGGGACGTTACATCTGACGGCGGCATCCTCCTCATGGCTGCAGTCCACAACCTCCTTGTTGAAGGAACACTCAGTTATGGACTTCTCAAAGCCTGAGCACTTTACTTCATTCATGTGAACAGGTCCCATACCTGAAAACACACAAACATCAAGACTGCTGAAACAGGAAGGAAAGTACAACTTTACATGGTTAATATCATGAGGATGTTTAGAACTGGAACTCAAAACTGTTTTTTTAATGTTCTCTCTGAAWCTTTAGCCTCTCTTTGTGCACGTTCAGCCCATACCTCAGCTGGTGGACGGTGTGGTRGACTAACCATGTGTCCACTGGTAAAGGCTGCCACAAGAGGGCGCTGCTGCTGCTCTCAACATTTCTCTGACAGTTTCTCCAGGAGAAGAATAAACTTCTATGGTTGTGTTGTTTATCTCAGTCAAACCGTCCACAAAGTTAACCTGTTAAATTCCAGTGAGGAATTTAAAAGGAGTAAACTCACTCCTGCACTTTAACAGAAAGGTCCTRGGCTGGGATTAGATCCAACAACCTTTGTGCTGCTGAGAGACAACAGCTCTACACAATTTGCCACTGTGCTGCCAAACTCAGATTTGTAATGTTTTCATTTATAAATGTTAATACAGGATTCATATAAGCTCTTTAGAAACTGCATCCTGGTGTTGAGGACATTTGTTTTAAACAGGTTCTCTTTATTCAGAGGGACTAGATTTGATGTTTTAGTTTTAATTTTAAGTAAAATATATATTTTTAACTCCTCATATCTCAAAAATATTGATTTTATATAAATAAGGTTATACTAATCGTAAATTTAGAGGAGAAATTAAAAATGAGCACAAATCAACACAAGAGGATAAAACTGGTCCGTACCAAACTGAAAGCCCCTGTAGACCTGTCTGCTCTGTGTGGTACCACCAGCAGCAGAGAGAACTGGAGACTTTAAAGTGGACATAYGATGCTTTTAAATCCTTCAGTTAGGTCTGTATAAAGTTTAACTTGCAATGCTTTGGTCTGAATTCCTCCTTACTGTAACTCCACAAGCTTTTCTGAGGTGTGTCTCAGGTCAACTCGTTTTGAAGCTGTCTCTTTAAATCCAAATGAGGGGCTTCACAACCCGCCACCCCCAGCTTCCAGACTGTCTCATTCTAGTTTTAGAGAGGGGTTTACGACTATATAGCTGCGCAGAAACATTTTATTTACAAATGAATGAAAAGATGTCAACACTTGTCCATCCAGCCTTACATGTTGGAGCCAGAGTTTGACCCAGAGCCTGACTCAAGCTTGGGTTAAACTTCAGTAAGACCTGAGACAGCTGGTTGGAAATTGCGTAATTTTGGACGTCTTTTTCCTGATCGAGTACAAACGAGCTGAAGACGAGGCAAACTATAAATGATCATGTAAATGATTATAGACCCTCCCTCTGCCCTCCCACAGCTCATATAAGTACATAAACAGCAGTAAAGATGGCTGGATATTATGGTTTTTATTTATTTATTTTTTATTTTTTTATCACTCAATGATCAGTGTCGTGGTGGGTGAAGAAGAGCCCACATTGGAGAAACTTATTATTTTCTTTTTAACGGCAGGGATGGAAAATAAGCCGTGAAAATCTGAAAATCAGCTGCATGCTCAC